AAAATATAGTATAATGTCTCAGAGCCACTGCTGCAGACATGTTTTTGGCAGTACAGTCAGCTGCATGCCTCATGGAATGCATTTGCAGTGTAGCCAGAGACACAGCTTCTTGCTGAAATGTAAGCACTAAAACTCTCATCCTCAGGCAAGAGGTTGAGCAAGGATTTTTTGTCTCACAAAAACCTTTAGTATGCCCCCATTGCCCCCTAGTACTTGACTATTCTTATCTCAAAGGCTGCAGTGGAGTACATTCTCCTCCATGGCTGGTCCGTTTTATGACCATCCCTGTAGTTTGAGTAGTGTTACGGACCTTAGTTTGAGATGCCTCTACAATGATAAGAGTTCGGTTTTGATTGTGTGAGATGAAAGGTTGCTTCCTTATCATAGATCTTGTATAGGTTCTTGATTTGCCTAAAGGGAGGTTGCGAAGATGATGGTTTAAATCAAGACTCCAGCAGTGACGGTAACATGCCAATATGGATAGGAGCACATCTTATTTGATCATAAACAAGATCAGATCTTGGTGGAGGTGGCCTCTGTAATTCTAACTTCAGTGATTTGGCTATCCTAAGCATCAAATCAGAATCTATGACATTAGACTCTGGGGTGGTTACCAGAATAGACAGTCTTCTGATGATTCAATTATCTGAACCTGAATCAGCAGAATGGGTATCCATGCTAACCACTATATGTTCTTGTTGCACAGGGGCTGAGAAGTACTGACCCGTTTCCTAGCACAGATAGATGTTTTGGTATGTACTCCTGCTGTACCAGACCCTGGAGGAATGTTTCACCTTTTCCGCAGGGTATTTTGGCCTCAAACTGGTACCAAGCTGGTGTGACCAATGTTATGCCTTAAACTGACCCTGGGTAGTATCTCCAGGAACCACTGTATAGATCTAAGCCATGGTGTTGAAGCTTTTCAGTCAGTTCCAATGATGAAGCTGAAGACTAGTCTCAGGAATGAGTAGTTCAATGTCAGTGTTGGATCCATTTCGCTGATGGAGATCAAGAATGAGATGAATACTTGTGACTACGCTTAGGTAAAGATAGTATAGTGGATCCAGAGGAGGATGAGGATAGAGAAACTGAACATTTTTAAGGAGTTGATGTCAAAGTTCCCAATGCCAAGATTGCCCCTTGGCTTTGAGTCCGTGTCACTGATCAAGTAGTTATTTTTCTATGAGTTTTGTTTTGCATTGAGAATGGAACAAGGGGACTTTTAAACTGACCAGGGCTTCTCTAAAGGTGATGACTTCAACATTGAGTGTCTTTGTTTGATTTGTGACTTTGATGCTGGACCGCTTTGCCTGTGTACCATCAATCCTGATGCCAGCTGTATTTTACTCTATTGATCTTGACATGGGTTGTACCTTTGTTCTGACAATTTTGAAGCCAGGTTCTTTTGCCAGTAGGGCGGTACTGCAGAATACGTTGGCAGGCCTGAAACAGAGCTCAGAAGCTTCTCTCTCTGCACACCCAAATAATGAAGATTGGGGGAAAATGCCATCCAGTATGGGCTAAAAATGAGGCACGGCACCAAAGTGTGTACAGTGGCAGATATATCAATTCCAGCATGATCGCTTTTTGGAAATGAGTCTTTCTACAACTTTTATGGTGAGGTGCATTCTTTTCTCATACTGTCAATACTGACTCAAAGGATGATGGCTGTGAATGGTCTCAGTTCCTAGGCGAGTAATTAAGGTGCAGGCTTCACTGTAATGGGGAAAGCTTGCTCAAGGTGTGTTGTGTAAGTTGGCTCTACTCCAGGAGTTTCTAGGCCATAGTACCATTGGAATAGAGAGGTTACTTACCTATAACCATGGTTCATTGAGTGGTACTCTGAATCCACATGAATGGGTTTAACTGTGCCTGTGCAGGACTCTTTGGAATATTCTAGAGCTTAACTAAATGACCAATAAAACGATTCCCCGTAGCGCGCATGCTCTGCCCACCTGTGGTACTTCAGTTCTGAATATCCACCACTGTCATGGCTCTGATAATTAAAAAAAAACAAAAGGTAAGCTGTGACGGACAGTGGGGAGGTTGGCCGGGACGTGTGGATTCACAGAGTACCACTCAAAGAACCATGGTTACAGGTAAGTAACCTTTCTTTCTTCTTCGTGGTCTCTGTGAATGCACATGAATGGGTGACTAGCAAGCTCACTTACCGGAAGGAGAGCTGTCACAGTAATACTGAAGTCAGCACAGCCCTTCCAAAACTTGCTTCCTTTTTCGCTCTGACATCCAGCCTGCAATGTATCACAAAGATAAATGGCGTAGATCAAGTAGCTGATCGACAGATGTCAGAGAGTTCAATGCCACGCAGCCATGCAGTAGAGGTAGCCATGGCTCTAATAGAATGCACTTTCAGCACATCTGGTGGGGTCTTGCCAACCAGCTCATAGGCTAAAGTGATGGCAGAAACTATCCATCTGGAAACTGATTGAGAAGAAACCAGGTGGCCTTTGTGAAGCAGAGCCATGGAAGCAGGCAAACAATCTGAGAGATTTGCGGAAGTCCTTAGTCCTGGAAATATAAAAGGCCAAAGCCCAACAAACATCAAGGGAATGGAGCATGCACTCAAAATCTGAAGAAGGGTTAGGAAACAACGTTGGGAGAATCAAAGGCTGATTAACATGAAAATTAGAATTCACTTTAGGGATGAATGAGACATCAGGATATAAGACAACTTTATTGGAGTGAAATTGGATATACGGCGCATCAGCCCATAGTGCAGCCAACCAACTTGTCCTTTGTGCAGACAAAATAGCCAGCAAAAACAAAGTCTGGCTGTGACTCGGAGACAGGCTCGGAATTGTCATTGTTGCCTGTGACTATGGCACAAAGCCATCCCCCTCCGAAAGCGATTTGGGGCCATGTAGTTCCCTGGAAGATTCCTCGAGTATAGGCAAGGGCAGGGTGACTCGTACTGGAGGAGGATCCTTAAGATGAACAGACTTGGAAGGATGCTTAACCTTTTTATGTTTAACTACCTCGTTTTTCTTCTTAGGATCTTTAACAGATGGTGCTTTCAATACCCATGTCGAAGATTTCTTCGATTTGAACACCTTTGAAGAAGCTTTGGAAGAATGGGTTGCCAGTGCTGGCGAAGCAGTGGGATCAGGACGAGGAGTGGGGGGGGAGCAGTCAACATGGTAGGTTCCATAGCTGTTGAGCCGGACGGTGTCAGCGACTTTTCCCAAAGATAAGAACAGAGTCGCTGTAAACGGAGCTTCAGGGTGGGCTTGGTTAATTTCTTACACTCCTGGCAAGAAATGGGTTGCTGTCTTTCTCCCAAACAAAACAAACAGCAGTCGTGGCCATCCGTAAAAGGGATTTTATTAGCACGCGATGCACAATGTTTGAATGGGCCTGAAGAGGCCATAAAATTTGGTGGAAACCAAAAAGATGGTAGTAAGGAAAGGGAAAAAAACTCAGAGGAAACGTTAATGATAATCTGAGGTCAAAATCAGAAATTTTAAGGAATTAATAAGCTCTAAGTGATGCAAAGCAGTCCGACTGCAGTGGCGGCAAAAAGGAACTGAGGTACCACGGTTGGACAGAGCATGTGCGCCACGGGGAAATGTTTTATTGGTAATTTAGTTAAGCTCTAGACCACTGGTTCTTAACTTTGGGTTACTCAGGAGTTTTGGACTGCAACTCCCAGAAGCCTTCACCACCTGCTGTGCTGACTGGAGTTTCTGGGAGTTGCAGTTCAAAAGCATCTGAATAACAAAGGTTAAGAACCACTGCTCTAGAATATTTCAAAGAGTCCTGTGCAGGCACAATTAAACCCATTCGTGTGCATTCACAGAGACTACGAAGAAGAATCACTGATTCCTTTCTCTTCAAAATGGAAGATGTCAGCTTCAGGACTGATGTGGACCAAGAAGCCAAAGATCCATCCTCAGGGTCAAGGAGTAGTATTTTCTGCATAGACTCACCTTCTAGCAGCACATGGTCATCTTGGGTTTGGTAGTGCCTCTATAAGAACACTTGTTTGGAGGATATATTGAAGACACAGACAGAACTGAAATAGCTTGCTTAGATATGGTGCCTACCACTTGCAATGACTTTTTCCACAGATAGGATTTTAGGTGGAATTGTTGATTTTTTTAATAGCAGCCTTAGTAAACTTGTGGCAAAACTGGCAATGTTTCAGTCTGGTGCCTGTAACCAAAGCAGTATAAGTACTTAGAATTCCTGTCAGTGAGGGGGATCTTGTTGGTGCATTGACACACTTCTTAAACAGATTCACTGAGCAGGCCTCAAATATGAGGAATGTTAATTATTTGTTTTTTGTTCTTTTTTTAGGACAACTCACAGGAAAGAAGAATGAAATGACAAAGACAAAGAAAAATACGAAGAGGTAAGAAACATTTAACAAACTAACAAAAATATGGTCTAGATAATGCTCTGAGATGTTTCCACAGTGGTGGACAAAAGGGAACTGAGAGATAACCCTTGAGCGTGGGAATATGCATACTGCAGGGGGCTACTCTTAACAATTTCTTTAGGCTCTGGAATGTTCCGAGACTTTAATGCAGGGGCAGAAACAGCCCACCTTTGTAATTCACAGAGATCACAGGAGCCAGTCTCCTAGCCACCATTCCCATGGAGTTACAAAGCACACAACAGCTGTAGCTGCAGCACACTGAAATTGATCTGAATGAAATGCAGCTTTCCTAGGCTCCCTGTAACTGAAATATTGATGCTGTATTTAGTTTACTGCCAATCATTATGTCCACCTGAAATACTTAATGCCATATTTTAAAACATGCTGTACTTTAATTAGAAAGTCACAATTCCTTCTCTTATTTTCCCTTCTGTGTCAATCAGGTCATCGAAAATTGGTACACAACACATTTAAGATCATGTATTCAATGAATTAAAAGAACAGAATTTACCACAAGTATACCCATTTTCTAATGACTGGACCAGACTATGCCATGCTTTCTTTCAGGCAAATCTAAACATGCATCCTTTGCATCACTCACCGTATCGACTTGCCTCAACACTGTGCCTTCTCCAAAGAAAAGAGGTTTGCGTGCATCCACAAGGATGAGATCGAAGTATGACTGCCATGGCCGATGAGAGCTGCCAGGCTTGAATAATAAAATAAATAAAACAAAAGGATACCTTTTTTAAACATCAGGTCAACAAATGTTACCCATATTGATACTTGTAAAATTTAGCTGTAGTAGAAACTAGTGACTATGCTCTATACGTAGTGACTATACTCCATATGTACCTTACTTTTACTCTATATGTAACCTGATAGCACAGCTATTACAGGAAGGGACAATGTCAAATTACAGAGCTTCCTTACATCAAAAAAACATGTTCCAGAAGATTTATGTTCCCTATTAGGATAGCAATTTGCCAATGAACCTTTGCTTTAGGAGATACAAGTACGGACAATCAAATCTATATCTGGCATGTCTACTTACCCAAGCATTCATGAATCATTAAACTAGACATGGGAGTTTTCATTACTTCCATGTGCACTCTGATACCATTTTTTGTCTTTGAAGGAAAAAAGAAACAGTCCAAGTGGTGCTTGGGGAGGCAAAGATCCATAGTAGTTGCAGTGAGTCATGGGATGAGTATTTGTGCTGCCTATTAGGCTCTATAGAGGGCAACTGTCAAACAACTACCCATCCCATGAATCATTCTGGCTCCCATGAATCTCTGTCACTCCTATGTAGCACAGGGGCCATTTCCTTCTTCAAAGGAAAAAAAATGGTGACAGAGGCTCACATGGAAAATGAAACATGCCCTGTGGATTTTGATTTCTCATCTACAGCTCCCAGTATTGTGCTGGAGGGAATTCTGGGTGAATTCTAGGAGCTGCAGTCCAAAAGAAATGAACATTCCATGCCTACCTTATACTGCACTGCATGCTTTCAAAGCAGAAGCCAACACTAAGATAGCAAAGAAAGGTGACAGTACACTATTTCCAATTTTCTAATAGAAAGTAAAGTGCACCCACAACTAAGTTTCCACAGTCCAGTCATCTGAAGATCTGTGTCACTACTGTTGACCACATACACACTAATGCAGATGAATGCAATTCCTCTTCTCTAGGCAACACCCATTTCAGCTGCTCATGTTACACAGGTGCAGGATGGCAAACAACTTATCACTAAAGGCAATGAATACCTCTGATTAGATTGCAATTATACCCTACTGTTTTCCATTTCTTATCACTAGTGACCTCTGGAGTTGCAATATGGAGAACATTTTAATTATTTCCACCTGTTCTGCAGTTGGAGATAAGATAGTTGACACCATGGGGACTTGATACTTGTGAAATTCTCAAGACCAAATTTCACCAGTATCAAAATTTCACCAGTATGAAAACCTTGATTTTTCAGTCCCATGATCTACCACTGAAACCAATCTTCCACTTATTTTAGGAAGAGATAAAACATAATATCTAACACTAAAGCAACAATTTTCTCATAACCCACCTTTGGCCCATGTGGAAAATCGAACAGATATGTCATAATTTTCTGAAAGACAGATTAAGAATAGGACAAAAATATTTAGAATTTATCTGAAGCTATATGAACATATTTCTCAGTCCATTTTTAGATGAAGCAATCTCTATATCAATGAAGCTAAAACCATTTTATAATAAATATCAAATACAAAAGTCTACAATAGGCTTAATGGTTGTTAAAGTGTCATTCAGAATGTACCTTTAATATAATCATGTCATTTATAGGGTCTCTGTTGAACAGGTATGTTGGCTAAAGGCATGCTAGTTCTCTGACTTGAACAGTACAAATCAATGAAGGAGCCTTTTAAATTCTAACGTGACCTCTCATGGACAAATCCACTTATTCAGAAGCCTGAAGAAGAGAATTTGTCCATTAAAATATAGCAGTTAGTCTTTGCCACAACGCTTTTGTCTTCTTTTAAATTTTTGTTTTGTTTTTTCCTGATATGCTAGCACAGATTAACATGACTACCTCTACTACAATTTTTAAATTCTGGACTGATATAATTCACAAGCTTTTTTTTCATTCATAATTGTACATAAATCTACAGGTGAAACAACGTGTCCTAAAATGATCAAGTATTTCTACCCACAAAATAGGTAATTTACTGAACGTTTTAGAAATATGCATTTAAGCAGACAATCAAAGCATCAAACTCAGAGGAGAAGAGTGGATCTCAAAGACTCTCTCTTGGCCTTTACAACTGCTCTGCAAGTTTTTATAGTGGTTTCTTGCCAAGGTCAGAATATGACCGGGGGGGAGGAACTGTGTTGGGGGAATCGGAGGAAGGGAAAATATAGATTCATTGCCTCCTCAGCTCCCAATTATAGCCCCAATATGCTGTATGGTGGAATAGCCAGACTGGCTCTGGAGCTAGTCCCTGGACCCTTGTAATTCTGAATACACCAGAGGCTCCAGTATTAGTTTGCTCCATCCTTCTGACTTCTTTTCTAGAGTACACATTTTTAAATGACCTAAGGTATAGACTGTAGACCAAAGTTCAAGTTCTCTATAACTATAGACCAAATTTCAGCTATACCACTCTTCCTCAGTGGCTTCATATATGCCACACAGTAATCTCATTTATGCCCCTATTCTCACTGTGAGGAGAGATGAATGACAGCAGAAGGAAATCTGCATTTCTCCTTCACATGCAAGATGCACAGATTGATCCAGTTACCTGAAGCAAGCCCTTAAAAGGGGTGAGGGGTGTTCAAAACATGCACTTACAGGTTAAAACAGGAAACAGGGCTGATCTCATCTAAAAATAAACATGGTTTCTCCTTTTATAGTTAGTTGGTCATGGCTTTCTGCAAGAAGGGGAGCAAGGATATAGAACAAGAGAATGCAGCCTTAGGTTACCACAACCTCCACAAAGCTGGGACCCTCCAGCCCAGGGTGATTTCTTCAGGATCAGGGGCTCCAGTGGCCCCTGCCCAAAGCCTTCAGTGGGTTGCATAAAGACAGCAACCAAAAGCACATTCATCAGCAATAGGGTGTTTTAACCTCTTCTCTTGTGCTCTGTGATTCCAATAGAAACAGGACCACTGTTTATGTACTGACAGTAGCAGTAAGGAAACAAGGATTTCTCCCCCACAGGTCAGCTGATATCTGATCAGCTGGTCTGTGGGAGATAGTGAATGGGGCTTTCTGTGGTTCCAAAGTCCTCAAAGAAAGTGGCGGGGTGGCTGTCAATCTATACACATTTGCTCCAAGGTAAACTCAAATATTTCCTCTAATTCAGTAAGATACAAAATATAGTATAAGCATGAAACACATTATCAATATGGATTATGATGAAGCAAGCAGCTGATTCCTATAATCTAAAAGTACTTACATCTGTGTATTTATAATCACTGTTTGTGGCAAGAAACACCTTTCCCACTTCATTCATTCGACTCAACAGCAAAGGCAGCTTCCCCTAAAATAAGAAGCATTTACATAAAATCTTGACTGTTATCCAGCTACTTGAGTTCAAACCAGAAATCAGAATGTGACATTTTAAAAGGATCTTCCTGTGTTATTTATTCTTTCTTGATAACTATGTTTATAAGTATCTTTGGAAAAATAACTAGGTGTTGCACCTAATTATTTCTTAAACTCAGAAGAAATGTTGTAGCTACTAGTTACATAACTCATCACTCATAAGTAACTAATTACAGTTAACTATGCTACTTGTACCTACTTTCTTCTAAGATCTGTTTGAAACCCGTACCTCCAGGGGTGTTTAAAACCACACACCAGGAAATTCCATTCTCCATCCTGTCTCAGTCTAGTCAAGATGCCTTCTAATATCCTGCATGACTTCACTATAGACTACAGATTCTTATGATTCTGGGCACAGAGCAAAGCTAATTCAAGATAACAGACCAATGGTAGCTGTCTTTGCAGCATGGATGTTTATAGTCTACTATGTTCAAACAAGAGGATCCTAGCTGTGCAAAAAGTGACATTCAGAGCGACTGGCACAACAAACCTTCAGAAAGGTCTTATAACTCTTGTAATTTGCAGTGTTTGACAAAATTCCTATTACAAGAGACAGTTCATGCTGAAATCTCAAAAGTCTTTTTATAATATGTAACCATGATTTTAAAATGGAATCTTGTAGTCAGAAAGTAACTCTTTACTAATTCATTTTAGAATAAAATTGCGGGTTTTCACTAGCATAGGATATTCTGTTTTATAGGATACTTGTTGCTGTCAGAGTTCAGAGGAACTCCTTCAAAAAAAGGAGAAAGAAACCTTTTTTACTTTGTCATCTTCTGGATACTGAAACAGCAGAAGTGCCTTGAAACATTCAGCACATCTGATACAGCATTACCTCTGTCAATATCAAAAGACATAAATATTCACCCTCGTGTAAGAAGAAAGGTTCTGCACTTACATCTTTCACCACATACTTTTCCAGTTTCTCAACTGTTTTCTCCTTGAGAGATCCCTGGGGAAAAAACAGGGGAGCTTTTTTGAGCCAGCAGAAGCAATGATCTACAGACATCTTACTCATATTTCATATTAGTATCACCTTCCATGCTGTCATCATGTTGTTAAAAGATGTTCCAATAACACTAGATACAGAAAGTTCTTTCCAGCGTTTCATATGTCAAGAGATTGACTCTGGGTAGGCGCAACAGAAGGGTGGATAACTTTGTGGCTCATTCATAATTTAAGAAACAAATATGGGACAAACTGCCATTCAAAATGTGCAACGTAACATTTTCTGGGATAAATCTAGCCAAGGGGGAGGGGAATCTGAAGACATGTAACAGTTCAACTGGAAAAGCTAATAGGTGATGCTTACATGGAAGATCAGCCAGAAATAATTTATTAATTGCTCCTTAGAGTGTGGAGAAAAAGTGATGACAGTTGCTCCTATGACTGTTAACTGTTACCACCTGTCTCACCATGAAAGAGCAAAAATGAAGGATGAGAAGAAGTGACCTGAAAACTCATTCACCAATCTGTCCTTCTCAATCTTCATGGGTCACTTAGCTAACATTCAGTGTTTATTCAGTGGCTTGCAAATCAAATTTAATAGTGCTTGAATTACAACACCATAAATAATTGAAAGTTCAGAAATAGTTTTTGAATTAACAAATTATTCAAAACATCCAAGTGCCAATCACCTTATAGTGAACCCAATCCACAGCATCTCTCACATCTTGGAACATACTCCTGAAGGACATGAAGAGGTCTCCATCTTTAAACCCTGTTTCACAACTGCAAGAGAAAGGCAAACACAGAACCTTTACACTTTAAAAGCCATCAAGGAGGGTGTGCAGGACCAAGAACACCTGTAGAGGTATAGTTGGGTACAATATGCTAAGCTAAGGATTCCAAAAGTTAAAGTGCATTCGTTCGAAAATAAATTGATTCTTGCTCACATGCCTTTTTTGGTTAATACTGGATTTCCAACAATCGAACTAGTGATGGGGAATTTGTGGCTCATTCCCTATCCATTCCAGAGGAGGCCCCAGAAAAGTCCTGCCTCCCAAATGAAGCCCCATTACTCAGACCCTAGCACTGAGAGGAATTAACACAGGATTCCCCTTCATATTGTTCTCCACCCTGAGCAGTGGTTTTCTTCACACATCACATCTTGCTGAATTGGAGTAACGAGAAATAAAATGGTCTTGGAAGACTCAACTGTGCCTCCTGCCAGCAAGATGTTTGGAAGTGTGCTGGAGCCACAGTCCTTGACATCAGCCAGTTTGCTTGATTAGCCCTTAGGGGCAATCCACTTCCAAAACTAAATTTCCCATAATTGTGCTAAATTATAATATTTATCTAGTTTAATCACTGTTTGTCACCTGTGAATGGCAAAACATTGTGAACCCCATGGGGGTTTCCATCACAAATTTTAAGAAAAGTAATCAGTGTCTTAAATAGTTTCATTTTCACCAGATTATAGATACGAATATTTGCACTGATATTTGCATTGAGAAAAGAAGGTGACTACAGAAAGACTGGGAGGAAAGCAATGACAAACCTAGACAGCATCTTAAAAAGCAGAGACATTGCCTTGCTGACAAAGGTCTGCACAGTAAAAGCTATGGTTTTTCTAGCAGCGATGTATGGAAGTGAGAGCTCAACCATAAAGAAGGCTGACCACCAAAGAATTGATGGTTTTGAATTGTGGTGCTGGAGGAGACTCTTGAGAGTCCCCTGGACTGCAAAGAGAACGAACCTATCCAGTTTAAAGGAAATCAACCCCGAGTGCTCACTGGAAGGACAGATCCCGAAACTGAGGCTCCAATACGTTGGCCATTTCATGAGAAGAGAAGACTCCCTGGAAAAGACCCTGATGTTGGGAAAGTGTGAGGGCAAGAGGAGAAGGTAATGACAGAGGGCGAGATGGTTGGATAGTGTCATCGAAGCTACCAACATGAATTTGACACAACTCCGGGAGGCAATGGAAGACAGGAGGGGCCTGGTGTGTGCTGGTCCATGGGGTCACAAAGAGTCAGACACAACTTAACAACTAAACAACAACAACAGAAAGACTCACCAGATTTCATATAACACAGACATATGCACTCACCTTGAATACCTGGGACAGTTAGTAAAAAAATCAACCAGACAGGCCAACAGGTAGGTCTCTGCAAAAATTAAGAAAGAAGGAAAGAAGAAGCCAGGTATCAAAATCAAGGCAAAAGTTAAACATGAATGGGCAGATAGACAGAGGCTCATGTATTTAATCCAAGAGGACATTCCTAATATTACCGATTTGAAATTAACTCATACCTACTAACCTTCACTGCACACTCCCCCCACCACTTTCAGCTTAGGATCTCACCTGGTAAATTGAACAGTGTGTTTAAAATGTAAAACCTGTCAGTGTCATCCCTCTGGATGAATTTATTAGGATACTGCTCTCGAATCTCTGGTCTGAAAAATGAAAGGGATAAGGGAATACACCCATTAAAAATGTAACGATCATAATCATTTATGTTAATAACAGTGTTAACTCCAATCAGGACCTTTAAGGCCTACAATGGTGGTACTTAAAAATGGTTTACCCTAGAGAGGAACCTATTTCCTTCTATTCTTGGGAAATTATGGGTTGTTGTTTTTTTAAAAAAAGGTGTAAGTGGAGGAGGAAAAAGACAGTATATGGACACCAAGCACAACGATCTACTAAACCAAGGTATTTATAACTGAACCAGATCTGTGCGTATTTCCATCAGATCTACTTGCTTGTTTTTCCAATTAGATTTCAAAGATACAAATAAAACACTATTTTAACTTATCCCAAGGCAAATAGGCATCAGGATTTGGAAAAATTAGGCTAAGGTGACACCTCAAAGTAGCTAATATATCAAACCTATTTTTTTTAAATTCGGAAGTTTCCCAAAGTACAATACAATCATTGTGCACAATGAATACAACCTAAATGAAATGTTCTGTACACATAGCACTTACCCCCTCATGAAGTTAAAGCCATGTGCACATACTAGGATGTTTCCATAGGCATCGACTTTCAGCAGATTTCCATAAAGAGAATCAAATACCAGGCCTCTAATTAACAAAGAAATGCAAAGATTGATATAAGCAATGTTTACCAAGCAGTTAACAGCAAGACTTTGAAAGATAGTCTATTGGAAGGGCATACCTGAGCCAGTTCTATCACGTTCTGTCCAAACTAGAATCTGACCCTAAGGAGGACATTTTGCTGACAGAGTCCCAATGAACTTTTGTTTAGCTGCAGAGGAAAAAATAGTCTGCATTGCCTGGTTTAAATGTACAGTAGATCGATTCTCTTATCATTAGTTCATTTATCTTAACAGAAAGACTGCTGCAGACAGAAGGGCAATTTAAGAAGCATTTGCTTCCACTTTTACAACACTACAGTTTGCTGTGTCATGCAGACCTAACACTTCAGACTTTGCAACATCAGCATGTCAGAAACTAGCTACAGTTAAATGTTAAGTAATTTGACATGCTAAAGGACAGTTTTCTTCACAAATAACTAGAAGGAGGAGATAGCACATGAAGCCACATTGCTGAGTATTACTTTGAACACTCTAGAACATTTTATAAAAGCTGAAACATTGTGGACAAAACTTGATAAAGGGGGAGCTATCAATGGTTTATCAGAAGCGCCTTGCTTAGAGCAAACAGTAATTTAGATACTGTAGTTCTGTTTGAATATGCCATTGCACTCATCATATGGAAAGGGTGTGTGTCATGTTTAAACAAGTAAAGGTACACTCAAACAAGTGCAGAACATCCCCCTACTCACTGCTTATCTCCCTTCAGGTTCTCTTCTTTCAATTTGTTTTTTAAAAAGGGAGAAGCAGGTAAGTGATCGTTTCAGAAAACATTCAGTGCCTCTCCCTTTCATGCCCCCAAACAACACATCCCCTTTCACATGAGGATTCTTAAGTCTGACTCTTAAAAATGATTTTGCTAGTAAATGGCAATTAAGGTTTTCAGTCATATCTTCTCTGTATTCTGTGGAAAAACTGCCAGTCTACTGAGGCTCTCAGTAAACACTGCCTTGGAAAAAGATTTCCAAACATATTCTCCCCCATCTCTCATCAATGTGCAACTCTTCACTCGCCCATGATGTGACATCAACTCATGGTGCACTTCCATAGCCCTCCCTCTGTATCATGAATTGCTACTATCAAAGCAGAAGTGGAATGACATGAGGAGTTTCATTTTCAGTTAAGTGAAACTACACGTTAATGTGAGAGGGGTGAGAACATAATTGAGGAAGACAGTTTGAGCAGTCACCCATGTCTGCTATAATGTATAATCTGTACATGAAATATGAGAGAACAAGGGAGACTGAAAACCACCAAGTAACACCAGCTTACTAAGACTGTTGTTCTACAGTGATCAAATGATCTTACAAGCAAGAAGGAATCCAGATTAATTTGAGAAGTTTGAAAGCTAAATAGACATTACTTGTATAAACTAAGACTTCATACCCAAGAGTAGACATATAGGGCTCTGAGCCTGTGCATGTGGATCGAAGTTGTGCCAATGGCGGTGTTAAAGGCTTTACAAACAACACAGATCAAAAGACTTCAAGTCCTTGCCCACATTATGGTATACCATTGCTATCAGAAGTATTTGCAGTGGGGTTTGGGAGGGCTGAATAAAATGCAATTTTATGTTTAAAGCAACATGATAATGCAAACAGGCTTGCAATTTCTTCAATACTGGTGGCAAAGGCATGACTCACATAGTTCTTTTCCATGGTGTTACAAAATGCCAGGGCATTTCTCCACTGCAGTAATATTTCAGAGGTTCTACAAGAAGTCACCACAGATCTTCAAGATTAAACATGTGAATTGGGCCTAATAAAGGTACTAATATGCTCTCCTTCACAATTCCATGAAAAGCTTCAAATTGTATCCCAACAATGCTTCTGTTGCAAACATTGATTTGCATCCACAAGAAATTCAAATACACTTTAGCGCATGCACTGGAGCTCCCAATAGCTCCCTAGAAACTCTAGGTTGGATTCAGATTTAGTCATACTTAGAGCAGCCTCATTGAAATAAATGGGACTTAAGTTAATAATTACTAACTTAGTGGGCTTATTTCAAGTATGATTAAGCCTGGATCCAACATTCTGGATTCATCAATGAGCTCCTTATGATAACCTCAAGAAAAGTCCACTGATATTAACACAAACAGTGGCCATCTCGGAGAGGGAACCCTAATACATTCATGTTTCAGTACAAACAAAGATGCATCTAAGGAACTTTGTCCATACTGTATCTCCAAATCTTTTCCTTCAAACAGTTTCATGTACAATTTTTAGTATTGAACTTGCTTCATCAATATGTAATGTATTCATTTGACAAAAACACAACCTGAGTGCACATTTAGCATTTCCTGCTACGAAATTCACTTTTTTGAGACTTTTTTTAAAAAATCACATCAACCTAAATGTTCAAGTGCCTTGTACAATTCAGCATTCTTCCAAATTACTCAACAAAACAAAACAAACAAAAAAATTATTTAAAAAGTATACAGAATACACATTCTTTGGTATGTTACAGTCATTTACCTGGTAGGGAATGCAGGATCATAGGCAAAATTAAGTAGCTCTTGAGGGTATCCAATTGAAACTAATCGTTCAACTGTCAGGTCAAATCCGAGGGATTCATACTCTGGGGACTTATACACTGTGACAAGACAAGAAAATTCTGGTTAGAAATAAAAGGAAGACACACATACTGTAATTAAACAAAGCACAAAATTTACACAAAATTTACAGAAATTTTGTCATTCTATTCTGTTTTTATTGAGCACACAGCAGTGACAGAAGTATCAAACTCTAGTGATCTTATACAGTAGTTTCATCAGTACTGTTCCCATTTCGGCAACAGAATGCATTAAATGAAATACTAGCTAGTGCCTCAAGGGAACTATTTTCCAAACAGCATTATCACCCTCACCCCATTTCACCTCTATATATGCGTACTAAAAGAGAATCTGATATTTATTGGTTCTGATGAACAGAAGAAAATTCTGAAGCCTAATCTTAGATCAAGCATTTTTTTTAGTAAGGAAGAATTTAGAAGGGCAACAGATTAAGCAGCCTTTCACTAGAGGCCACCTGTCAAACTGATCTGTGATGTATTAATAAAAGTTCATGAGATTACCATTGTATATCAAAATATTAATTTTTTTCAGATAAATCTCATCTTGAGCAAAGTAAATACATTGGCTGAAATTATGTTGCAGTTACACAAACAGCATAACTTTTAACTACAAATTGCCATGAATTAAGAAATCTCCATAGATATTATCTGTTGTATGCCAAGTTGCACAACTCTGTATACAGGAGATAATGTCTATGAAGTTTTAATAACCCACAGCAATTCATTTCTAAAAGTTACACTATGTATGACTGTGATTTTGCATTAGCCTGCTGTAAAAAATAAAAATAAAAAGAGAAAAAAATCCATGGTGAATGCCAACCATTGTAACCAGAGATGGGAGTATTCATATTTGTATGCAAATGCCCCTGCACAGGTGGAGATAATGAGGGTTCAGCCCCATGGGGCCGGATGGTCCACTCACTGATGCACTAATGCCCCGGGGTCCGCGCTGCCATCCTATGCTCCAAAGATCACCGAGCCACTCCTGGTAGGAGGTGGGACGACAAGCCTCCCTGCCAAGTCGAAGGATGTCTCAGCAATCGCGATCTCTGAAGTGATAGGACGGCAGCGTGGACCCCATGGCATTAGCACACTGGTGAGTGGATCGTCCGGTCCCAGGGACTGGAACCTCGTTATTTCCACCTGTGTGGGGATATTTGTATACGAATATTAATCAAGAGATTACTTACCTGTAACCATGGTTCTTTGAGTGGTCTCTGTGAATCCACATGAATGGGTTAGACTGTGCCTGCACAGGACTCATCGGAATGTTCTAGAGCTTAAAAACATGTGATCAGTAGGACATTCCCCCATGGCGCGCCTGCTCTGCCTGCTTGTAATACATCAGTTCTGAAAAATATCCGCCGCTGTCAAAGCTCTGACTATAACAACGTTCAGGATGAAGTGATGAATAGCGGGGAGGATGGGCAGGACATGCGGATTCACAGAGGACCACTCGAAGAACTATGGTTACAGGTAAGTTATCTTTCTTCAGGTTCTCTGTGAATGCACATGAATGGGTGACTAGCAGGCTAACTTACTGGAAGGAGGGCCTTCATGCTAACAATGAAGTCAGCACAGCTCTGCCAAACCTACTTCCTTCTTGGCCCTGACGTCCAAACGATAATGCGTCACAAAAGTCAAAGGTGTAGATTAAGTGGCCACTCGACGGATGTCAGAGATCTCAATGCCACGAAACAGGGCAGTAGAGGAGGCCATAGCTCTCATAGAGTGCACCTCAGCACATCTGGCGGAGCCTTGGCAGACAATTCATAAGCCAGGGTTGTTGGTATGATTGTTGGAATGTGAAAGGTCTGCACTACTGGTTACGTTAGTACCTTGGCTGTTGGGTGGAGTAAGAACGGGCAGTCTTATGAATCTTGTGCAAGTTATCCACCACATCATCAGTCTTCTTGTTGAAGAGGCCAATGCAATCATGGGGAAGATCTTCAATGCGGGACCTGGCATCATCAGTGATTCCCGCTGAACGCAGCCATGTATGTCCCCTGAGGGCAATAGCAGAAGCCATAGCCTTTGAAGCAGCATCAGCCGTATGGCGGGATGCTAAACGCTGCCATTTAGCCAAAGTAGAGGCCTCAAGGTGGACATTGAGGGCACTGGCTCTAGTCTCCTTGGGAGCAGACTGAAGAACTGGGAGGATCTTATTCCACAGTCTATGATAAGCTCCCATCGCAACCTGGTAGTTGGAGACCCTCATGATAAAGAAGGCCAAGGAATACAGACGACAACGTAGGACACCCAGCTTTTTACCTTCATTGTTGGTGGGAGTGGCTGTTGAATGCTTCCCAGTGCAAGACTGATTGGAATGAACTATAATAGAGTTTGGAGACAGATGCTTAACAAGGAAAGCTATATCGTTCCCATGTGGTTGATAATGGTTTTCAACACATCTGGAAATCTGAAGAGACGTACAGTGGTGCCTCACACAATGATGTTAATTGGTTCCAAAAAAATCAACGTTGTGTGAAACATCGTTCTGTGAAACACCATTTCACATAGGAATGCATTGAAAACTGGTTAATCCGTTCCAATTGGAACAGATTGCCATCGTTCAGTGAAAATCCCCATAGGAAACATCGCTGAGTGAAACAATGTTTCCTATATTGGAATGTATTGAAGCCGACTCAATACATTTCAATGCCTTTGCGAAGTCCTTTTTCGCTCCTGTAAAAGTGTCTTACAATGTTTGGATGCTGTTTTAAATGATTGCAATGGTTAGTCCACCTCCTGAAACCTATGCAAACTGATTTTGGTGTTGTTCTGACACTTCGTTAATTTATGATGATTTTTTGTTTTTTCCATTGGAAACCATTAGACAGACCATCCAATGGTTTCCTATGGAGAAAAAACAAAAAATCATCATAAATTAACGAAGTGTCAGAACAACACCAAAATCAGTTTGCATAGGTTTCAGGAGGTGGACTAACCATTGCAATCATTTAAAACAGCGTCCAAACATTGTAAGACACTTTTACAGGAGCGAAAAGGGAGATCGTTGTGTGAAAATCCCCCATAGGAAACATCGCTGTGTGAGGCAGCAAATTTAACAGAAAAAGGCATCGTTGTGTGAATTCATCGTTGTGTGAGGCACTCGTTGTGCGAGGCACCACTGTAGATGGTTTATCCCATGATTCCCTAATAAGGTCCAACATGGCAGGTATAAATGCCAGACTCAACGGAGGGGATTTTTCTTGATTGATTTCGTTGAAGACGAGATCATGTTTAGGAGAGGGAGGTTGCTCAGTATCGAGCTCCAAGGAGTTGGCCATACAGAGAATGAGTTGGGAGTAAGATGAAAGGTCCTTCGATGGGGATGGTATGTGAATATCCACCACGTCCGAATCAGGGGTTGGTAAATTTGAAGGAGACTCCCTGGAAGCCTTGGAATATGGACCCTGCTCAGGAGCTGTTGAAACTGAAGAGCCTCTAGAAATGGAGAGGTGGAGAGGGAGAACGGTGATGAGCCTGAGAAGTAGAAGCTGGAGCGCAAGGGGTTGATACTGAAGCAGAACATGTGACATGACGGGACAAACAGACCTTGGGTGCAACATCGAAGCTGATGGTACTGAGGACATGCAGAAGCATTTTGACGGAGGGGGCTCCAGTCGAAAGGCATCAGGTTGAGGCATGCGGCATTTAACTGCAGATTTCGTTGGTACCTGAAATACGGGATCGAGCTGGTAATAAGCTCAATGTTGACGCTGAGGAGGAGGTAAAGGCAAAAGAGAAGATTCAAAAGGAGAGGCATAAGCATAATGCACTCTCTTAGGTCTCCCATAGTAGCCAGTGTCATAATAGGGATCAAACTCATCCAGATGGTATCGACGTTGATCACCATGTCAATCAACCTCCGCAAAAAAGGGTTCCCCATAATCCAAAGCCAAATGATGTCTAGATGGACGAAGAATGAAAATAATGTCCCGAGGCTGAGGGTATTGTCGAGATGGGGAAATGTGGCGACGTTTGACTGGTCGCTTACGCGGAGGAGACTGCCCTGCTGATGCCTCCAAGTTAGACAATTGTATTACTGTTTCCTGCCCAATAGACATGGGGCTAGAATGGGCCGAGGCCGGGCTAGAGATGACATCAGCCTCAGAACGGCCATGACTTGGAGACAGGCTTGGTATTGATACCAAAGCCTAAGCGTGAGGAGGTGGTCCTGACTCGTCAGCTTCAGACGGGGAGTCTGGATATGGCATATCCCTGAACGATTCCTCAAGGATTGGGGATGGGAGAGAAACATGGAAAGGAGGAGGCTCTCAGGGCTGAGTAGACTTAGAAGCTTGCTTAGATTTCTTCTGCTTAACCACATCCTCCTTCTTCTTAGGAGAACGATCTTTCATTGAGGCCGAGGGCAACTTCAGCACTGAGGTCGATGTCGATGCCGAAGAAGCTTTCGGTCTGGGTGCCTTCTCAGAGAGTTCTCAGAGAGAGCGTAGCAGGAGCCAATGGAAAAACAGGCTTGGGTCGAGGAACAGGAGTTATGGTAGGTTCCATGGCTGAGGGACTCGAGGTTCTCAGGGATTTTTCCCAAAGATACGATTGAAGTCACTGCAAGCAGAGCTTCAGAGCAGGCTTGATTAATCTTTTACACTGCAGGCAGGAGTGAGTCTGGTGCCGTTCCCCCAGACAAAATAAGCAGTGGTTGTGGCCGTCCGTGAAGGGGATCTTATTGACACACGACATACAGCGTTTAAACGGGCCTGGAGAGGCCATAAAAATGGTGGGAACGGGAAGGAAAAAAAGGGGGGAAATGGAGAGAAATCAGAAACAAAAAGATAACTCACGGGGAAACGTCTGACACAAAAGGACCAGATTAAGTCCGTAATCCAGAAGTCGTAAACATTTATCAGTCCAAAACATCCAAAACCCTTAAGATATAAGAATTTTGCTCTAGTACTGTAGTTGCTAAAGGAGCCCGATTTCAGCGGCAGCTAAAAGGAACTGAGGTATTACGGGCAGGCGGAGCATGCACGCCACAGGGGAACATCATAATCACG